GATTCATGGGATGGGGGTGGAGCCGGCCCATTCCTCCCCACCCCAACGAGACTGCGAGTTGCCACCCACAAATGGCCTCTCTGGTTCCTGATCAAGCTGGCCATGATTCCAGAGACTCAGGAACAGATCTCGGAAAGTAGCAGGTTTTGGCAGGAAATCTCTCCAGATTTAATTGTTAAAATTTTGGAATTACTAAATTGCGCAGCCATTACTGCAACCGCACAACATCATATATTATTCATGACCAGCAATAGAAAACAAATTGTCTACTGTTGCATTTTCGGCAGATCTGAGTGTTGGGGTAAAATCCCAAATAATAATCGTGGGTGTGGTGTCGAAATGTTGAATGTGATCAAAGTAGAGAGAGAGTGATTTGGAAATCATCTGCCCCACAGGTAGGGGGAGGGTGTGGGATGGGGGTATACTGGGGTTTTTGGTGGTGGAGAATGGGCACTGGTGAAGGTATGGGTGTTTCATTGTATGACCAAGACTTAAACCCGAAAGCTTTGTAACTGCTCTCACAGTGATTCAATAAATAAAATTATAAAAAAATGGGGGGGGGGGGAAGTAAGGTGGAGTTCATGCAAAATTCAACCAGCCTAATCAGTGGCTGAATAAATAGCAGTACTCCTACATTAAAAAAAAAAAACAGGGCCTATAGCAGTACACAAGTTTGAATTCAATCACAAGGATTTGCTTCAGGCATATCAATGAAAAAAAATCTCTTCCAAAAACTGAATTCAGAAGCAGGGAAATATGTTTGGAATCATTTCTCTTATGTCATGATGGAGCAGTATTCTCTGGAGTAAGCGAATTGAGTGCATGACACTACTTCAATATCAATATATTGATTTTTTTGAAACTTATTTGTCAAGACTGGATTTAAACTTGATATAAAGCAGACTTTTAATTTCCCGTTTTTTTTCAGAGATAATATTGAAAGGTCACTCTCTAGTTTTAAAATTTTTAAGACAATGACTCTTTGTACCACTCCCGTCTTACTAACTTCAAAATCAAATTTCCGGTCAGTATCGTGTATTTTGAGTTGGCAAACAGGAATCCTTTCCCCTTCCCTGTGTTTTTTAAGAGATTATTGTTAAGCTCTTTTTATTACTGATTTCCATGTTTTAGCAGATCTCCACACTCTATCAAATAGATAAAAAAAAAAAAGAACATCGCATGCTTGAGTGAATTAGACATTGTAACAAAAATCTCTGGTGGAAATTCATGAAAGTCCTGGGAAATTTCTCATTGTATTCATCTCAAATTTTTATTTATACCCTAATTTCTTTATTATGGTGTCCATATTAGTTATATGTCTACATTCAGAGAGAGGAACATTCTCAAGCTGGAAACTTTGTTCCCTAGAAACATGGTGGGCAACTAAGAGAGAGATTTGCCAAAGCAAGGATCCCCTCTAAATGATGTGATATTACCCTAGGACCCAAATACATTGTTTCCCCTCTAGTGACTAAAAACTGTGTAAGTTTCTCCACTACACACAACATGGCAGAATATTTGACTGAGAAGCCTGTGTGTGGGGTATGGCAATCAGAGCTGAAAGACCAGGCTTGGCAAAGAGGTCTGCCCAGGGGAAGTACCTTGGGCCACTCTCTAGACGGGGCCCTTGGTCCAATGAGAGCCAGTGGTTCTAAACTGGTCAGGTTTTATGTGTGGGTTCCAGGGACTCCAGGAAAACCTACTCAGACCAGATTTCTTGAGGGAGAAGTGAGTTCTAGACTTGTCATGGACTAGCTTGAAAATCCCCCTTTAGTAATAAGAAGTAAACCTGCTTATCAAGAAATACTGTTGGCCCCTGAACAACTCAATAATCAAGGGTGCCAGCCATCATATGAAGTCAGAAATCTGCATATGATTTTTCATTTTCACAAACTTAACTGCTAATGCCCTGCTTTTTACCTGAAGCATTACTGATAACAGAAACAGTTGATTCACAGTATGTTGTGTGCTACATGGAATATAGACCATATTATCACTTCTAGGTCTTTGTTTTTCTTTTGAAGTTTTATTTTAGGCACTGTGACTTACAATATTGATGACGATAAAGCATTCCGACATCACACCCTTCATCAGAGTGTCAGCTTCCCTCCACCATTGTCCCTGTGTCCCCACACTCCCCTACAGTGATGTGCCAACTATGTATATTTGTAATATATCATATGTTTTACATATAACACATATTGTACGCAGCCCACTTTACCCAGACTCCATATAATCTTTAAAACATTTTGAATTGAGATTTTATGGTTTATAATATTGCTAATAATGATCCTCATGTAACATAATCCCAACACCACACCCACCAATGTACCCACTTCCCTCCTCCAAGGACCCTAAACCCCTTTCTTTTTGTCCATCCCACCACCACCTCATTTGAGTGGATCAGTTCTTCCATTATGTTATGTTGGCTTTGACCTCGTGTCATTTCCTTGCTGTTTACGTCTAAGTCCCACATATGTGAGAAATTATTCTATATCTGTCCTTTCCATCTGACAGACTTCACTCAGTCTGATATCTTGTAGTTCCATGGACATTGCTGCAAATTGCATTGTCCTGTTCTTTCTTAGGGCTGCATAGCATTCCACTGTGCATCTATATCATACCTTCTTGATTCATTGATCTATATTTGGGCATTTGGGTTGTTTTCATATCTTGGCTATTTTACTAAGTGTGGTGATATACTTGGTGTGCATATATCCTTTTGAATTCATGTTTTTTGTTGTTGTTTTGGAGACGGATGCCAAGAAATGGTATTACTGGGTCATGTGGAGTTCTATTGCTATTTTTTGCTAGTTCTCTGTATTTCTTCCTATAGAGGTTGAACCAGACAACATTTCCACCAACAGTGGATGAGGGCTGCTTTCTTACCACAATCACCCCCCCCACCTGACACACATACACACACATACACACACACACACACACACACACTAGCTGTAGCTGTATCTAGGCTTTTTGATATGTGCCATTCTCATGGGAATGGAATGGAATAGTTCATTGTTTTGATTTGCATTTTCCTAATCATGAGTGACGATGAACACTTTTCCGTATGCCTGTTGGCTATCCGTATGTGCCCCATTCTTAGAGAGAAAAGGAAATGTTCTTAAAGAAAAATCTTAAGCGGATCATCATCTTAACTGAAAATCTTTTTTTTTCTTTTTGGGTTACATCCAGCGATGCACAGGGGCTACTCCTGGCTCTGCACTCAGAAATCACCCCTAGTAATGCTCAGGGGACCATATGGGATGCTGGGAATCGAACCTGGATTGGCCGTGTGCAAGGCAAACGCCCTACCCGCTGTGCTATTGCTCCAGCCCCATTAACTGGAAATCTTAAGTGTTCTTAAAGAAAAATCTCAAGCTCATCACCCTCTTTTTCTTCAGTTTGAGTAGGTGGGGAGGAGGAAAAGGAACAATAGCAGGGTTTACAATAATGAGTGTAAGTGGAACCATGTAGTTCAAACCCATGTTTTCAAGGGTGAATGGCATCTATTGATTATCAAGACCACCAAATCACAGCTTCCCCATGAACTGTTTTGTTTGTTGCTTAAATTTCCTCTAAGGAAAGCGAAAGAAATATATGGGATGAACTCACCAAATGTGGGATGTGAAGAAACAAAGCAAGGGCAGGAGGGACAGTACAGCAGGCAAGGTGCTTATTTCCTGCATGGCTGCCCTGGGCTTGATGCTCAGCACATATGGTTGCTGGAGCCCTCCATGAGTGAGCTCTGACACAGACCTGATATAAGCCATAGGCACCACTGGGTGTGCCTCCTCTCCCTAACCCTTGCAAAAAAAAAGATTAAAAACAAAAAACAAAACAAAACAAAAAAAACCAAGGAAACAATACTCAATAGAAAAAATCCTTAACTGATAACAGAACTGAGGTTCGGTTAGGTGCAGGGTGGAAAGGAATACTCAGTGGACCCTTCCCTGGCTGAACTGTGGGTCTGCTATGGTAAAGTTGTAACATATATCTTCATGTAAGTTTATTTTATCCCAATCAATTATTTTAAAAAGTGCATTCAGAGCACGCTAAAATGATCGATCAAATAAGTTTTGTTTCGCTATTTTAGATTTGATAATCTGGATTCTGTGATTTGGGGCACCCACGATAGGTTTAGTGGTTTCCCAGCAAGATAGGATGCTGGAATAGTCCTGATGGACAAGGTGAGAACTTCTCAGGGTTCAGGGCCACAGGAAAGAAAAGAAAGAAAAGAAAGAAGAAAGGAAGGAAGGAAGGAAGGAAGGAAGGAAGGAAGGAAGGAAGGAAGGAAAGAAAGAAAGAAAGAAAGAAGGAAGAGAGGGAGGGAGGGAAGTAAGAAGGGAGGAAGGGAAGGAAGGAAGGGAAGGAAGAAACAGAAAGAAGAGAAAAAAGGAAGAGAAAGAAAAAGAAGAAAAGATAAAAGGAGAGAGGAAGAAAGAAAAAGGAAGGAAGGAAGGAAGGAAAAGAAAAGAAAGAAAGAACGAACTCCGTTCTGCTCTGCTCAATGCACTCATGACTTCCACGATGCGCGGGGCATGATGCACGAAGCTGCCGTGGATTAATCGCGCCCAGGGATTCCCCCCGCAGCTCTGCACGCTCCTGTCAGCAAACTTAACCCGCTCCCCTGGGAGCATGAAAAATGCATGTGGGAAACATCTAGAAAAGAAAGAAGTGAAATCCCCGGGATCCCGAGGGTGCTCCGGAGCACTGCGGCGGGAAGATGCTCTGGGAAACTGCAACTTGTAGGAGGGAGCGGAGTCCCGTCCGGAGACCCTTTGCGCCTGGCATCGGGCGGGGACATCCGCCCCGACGGGGCTGGGGAGCGGGAGGCCCGGAGGCCGCGCGGCTCCAACCGGGCTCGGGGCTCGTGGACGGGGCGCGGGTCCGAGGCGCCCACTTCGGGCCAATCAGCGCGCGGCGTGCGGACTCCGGGGCCGAGGCAGCCCCGGGCCGAGGAGGGGCCGGGCCGCGGGGGCTCCTGCAATCGGCGGCGAGGTGGGGATTGTGGGAGGAAAACTCCATTTCCTTCGGCCCCGCCGGCCTCCCCCAGCCCGATGTGCCGCGGCCGGGACCATGCTGGGCATGTACGTGCCGGACAGGTTCTCGCTCAAGTCGTCCCGGGTGCAGGACGGGCTGGGGCTGTACACGGCCCGCAGAGTGCGAAAGGTGGGTGCCGGGGGGCGGCGGGGAGGGGGGCGGGCGCCGGCGGGCAGCGCCACGTCCTCGTGTCTCCGGGGCGCCGGGCCCGGGCTGCCCGCGGCAGGAAGTGGGCCGGATCCGCCCGGCTCGGCCCACCCTGGGGCGCGCGGACTCGGGGAGGGGGGTGCACCTCCCCGGCGCGCCCCGCCGATGAATGGAGGCGGCCCGCACGCCCCGCCGGGGGGCACCCCAGGGTGGGAAGCAGGGTGGGGAGCAGGCCCGAGGCGCGCCCGCACCCTTGCAGTCGGCTCTGTGCCTGCCCCAACGGAGCTGGGTGCTCCGGGTGCTGCGAGGTGTCAGCCTGAGCTCAGTTCTCTGATCTCGGAGCTTGTGGGCTTTGGAGTTTGGTTTCGTGTCTCTCCACCCCCACCCCACCCCGCACCCCACACTCAGCCCCATCCCTGAAACTCGGGTCTGTCCTGCAAAGCACTTTGCTGGGTCCACTTTGCTTGGTCCACTTTGCTGGGCAGCCTGGAGGATAGATATGGTGCATCTTGAAAGCCAAGGGATAGGAAGGGAGATAAGTAGAAAGTGCATCCCCACCCCCACCCCAAAATCCCCACGTCTGGCAGGCATGAAGGCGGTGTAAGGAGCCAGTTGTCAGGATAGGCAAAATCGGGAAGCCAGAACTTCCGATTCCTCAGCAGATTCTCTGTACCAGAGTCCAGACCTGGTCCCTGGAGGTCCCGTTAGGAACTTCACGCCCGTGAGAACGCGGTGTAACATCAGCTCAGAGATGACAAAGGACCAGGTTCAGACTTGCTGCATCCCAATGCGCATGTACTTCCCAGAACCCCAGCCCCTTCACCCCCTCCCGCCACTTCGCTTGAAGATAACTTTGAAAAGGGAAGTTCAGGCAAGAGCCGGCTTGGTGTGGTAAGGTGTGCTCACTAGATGCTTCCAGGACGCACCCAGAGAAAAGGCGATGCCTTCCTCTCGTAGTTATTCTGGCCCTCTCCACCGCCCCAAGTGCACGTGAGGGAAGGTGGACACATATTTGAGATTCATTGACTGCACAACCCCCTGGTCCTCCCCAGGGTAAACATGGAGAAAGGACACCCTCTGTGTACTTTATGATATGGGTGTGTCATAAAGTACAGGAGTGAACTCTGAGGTGGGTGAAGTAAATTTAAAGTGGATGGAGAACTGGAGAGTGTCGAGTGAGCAGGGCGCTTGCCTTGCACGCAGCCCACTCAGGTCATTGATGTCCAGCACTAAATGTGGTCCCCCAAGCTCAACCAAGAATGATCCCTGAGCACAGAGCAAGGTGGAAACCCTGAGCACTGCTGGGAGTGAATCAAACCCCCCCTCCAAAAAATGGGGTGCTGGGGAGAGGTAATTAATCAAGATACCTGTTTGCTAAATGGATGAAGAGCCAAGTCAACTTTCTTTCAAAGCAGAAGCTGAAATGATGCTTTTAATTATTTCTCTCAATACAGGAAAATAGTGAGTTTAAGCCACTTGCCTTGCATCCTTCATTTGTAGCTGGAGCTTGGTTAGATCCTGAAGCATCACATTGGGTCACTTGAGCCCAGCCAGAAGTGACCACAGAGCACAGAGTCAGGGAGTAGCCCCTGACCACTGGTCAATGTGGCCAAACCCCTATCCTACCCTCATCCCAGTCCCTGAATAGAAAAACACTAAAATGGTTTTTCTTGGAGGTCTCAGGGCTAAGTGTAATTATTTAAAAAGTGAAGCTTGTAAAAATTACTTTGTTTAATGTTCTGGGTAGTATATACACCAAGACAGTTCATAAGTATTAGAATTATTGCATAATCTCTACTTTTTCCCTTACATTAGTTTTTTTTTACAAACAGTTGGCTAATGTGTTTTCTTTTGATGTTTTGATTAATTCCAACTTATTTTTCCATCTACTTGGTTATTTGAAGGTTTAAATTGTTTTTGGCATAGAACAAACGGCCTTCAAAACATCATATGTTATTGCATTTTACTATTGCCAATACTAAATAGACACTTTCCCTGGCTTATGTAAGTTTAATATGTAAAACACATGGAGATTTTCGTCTGGATCCCATTTCAAATGCTCACCTATATCTTGAAGTGAATATTAAAACATGCAGTAAATCTACAGGACTTATTATTGAGTTTCACATAGTTTTGTTATGATCACAAGGTAGTCATGCAAGGCCCTTGATCATGGAGAGCTTCACTGATACCCGTATGACATTGAAGGAGGTTTGGGTTCTTGCTTTCTGAAGACTGGGATGACGTGAAAGCTGAATAGGAGCTTTTAATTGCATGGAAAGGGTGAAGCTGAATATGATTGCATGTGCTCGTTTGCACGCAGCTTTTTCCTTTATTTTCATTTATTTTGTCTGCCTTTGAGGGGGAAGCTTCCCCAGCAGGGTTCAGGAGGCCCATGGGCCCCAATGAGTGACCCTCTTGCCAACTGGGGCCCCCATGGTGCTGGAGATGACACGGACCACCCGAGGTGGTGCTCAGGGAGGCCACGTGGCATTCAGATCCGAATAGGGTCCAGTGGCATGCAGGGCCTGTGCCTTAACTCTTACACACTCTCTCTCCCACCCCTTTTCTCAGCTATTAAATGTGGTCCACCTTACTTTGTTACCTAACTCTGGCCATCCATCAAGAAGAGAGATTTTTAGAAGCCTTCAAGGCGTTTCCTTTCACCTCCTCTATTCAAGACAAATGTTGGAATTAATGCTATAGATACAGAGATAGGACATGCCAGATACTTTGTCACACTCCAGTAACTGGGATGCTTACCTAGCACTTGTTTTCAAAGGCCATAGGGTGGAAACTCTCTTGATTTGGAAGTGAGACTCTGATCCTGACCCAGCCTGTGGCTGGGGATCCCACTATAAGCCACCATGCCCACCCTTAGACTGATTTGATTCCTTCACCCTTGGAACCTGTCAGCCCTTCTCTTATCCCACCCTTCTTGTGCAGGTTTCCTGGGGCCCCTCAGCATCAACACTGACACTCTGGCTCCACTCTGGTGTTTGGCTTATTATATTCTTGGTAGTTTACCCCCACCCCCATATTTTTTCCTGCCAATTGCATCCCCCTTTTTTCTGTCATGGGTTGGGGATATAAAAGACACAGAATGTCAAGAAAAGAACTTCCTTTTCTTTTCACTGTCACTGTATCACTGTCATCCCATTGTTCATCGATTTCCTCGAGCAGGCACCAGTAACGTCTCCATTTGTCTTAGCCCTGGGATTTTAGCAAGTGCCACATTGGAGGCTCTTTCAGGGTCAAGGGGATGAGATCCATCACTGTTACTGGGGTTTGGTGTATCAAATATGCCACAGGGAGCTTTCCAGACTCTGCTGTGGAGGCAGGATACTCTCAGTAGCCTGCTGGGTTCTTCGAGAGCGAGAACTAGACAATAAGAAGTTAAGCGGCTGCCAGTGCGGCCTCGCACTTCCCAGAGCTTGGTTTTATAGTCTCTGGGTCTTGGCTGTTGATGGGATTACATGGTGCCGGGGCAATTGGTGGGTGTAATGCCTAGCTACTAGAAGATGGGGGATCTGGGTGGTGGAGGCCCAGTCCTGATCTAAGCAGCCTTGGAGATCTCAGCTCTGGGTCCCACACACCTGGGTTCCTCTGCCGGTTCCTTCATGCGTGAGGCTCATCTGAGTGTGTGGAGAGTGGTTTTAAGCATGGCGGTGGCTGGTTCCAGAGGTCTTCAGCTGCCAGGTCTCTGCTCGAGGTGGGGAGAGATTCTCAACCCACCCACCTCCAAGGGGCCCTGGTGAGGACAGCCAGGCGTGGGGGCAGGAGACTCTGTGTTGTTCTCTTCTGGGAGCTTGGTTTTATAGTTCCTATAAATCCTTTTCTTTTATGGAAATTGAAGTTTGGGTGATGAGAGGGTTGTCGAGTAGACTTTTTTTATTTTTAAAGTAAACCATAAATTATTCTTGGAGAAAGGCTGGATGGGAGTTTGTGGGAAAAGCCTTTGAGTAGAAAAATGAGTCCCGAGCTCACTTCTACTTATCCACATCCCACTTTGTTAAGGATTAAAATCACAAAATTGATATTTTTGCCTTCACTGCACCAACAACTTATGCTGTGTTGTCTCCTGAGCACTGTTTAATGCTCCTTTAGAGTCATGGAATCGAAGTCACAAAGTACTATGCAGATTACAATTAATATTCAAAGCTCATGCATTAAGTATTCAGTAAGTCGCCACTTCCTGTCAACATAGTCTCTTGGAATCCGTGACTTTAGGCCAAATGATGGATAATAAAGAAGGTCATTTTGTTGAATGTCACCTGGGATTTCTTTTTTTGTAATCTGTGCTATAATGAAATGACATTGGGCAACATGACGTTATTTGAGTACCTGCTGTACATTTAATAAAAAGCTAAGCAAACACCTTACCACATTACATTGTCTTATATCATTCTTTTACTTGCTTGCTTCTGTGATTAACCAGAGAGTGGCAGGTGGGGTTGACAGTGTGCTTATATCCAGAAATTGGAAAGGTAAGCTGTAAAGTTTCTTCGTGTTCTCATTTTCTGTGATTTTATGGAAGGGGTTAAGGTAGGAGAACACTGCTATTCTATCTTCCCTTTAGATTTATAGCTCTCTGTTGGATTTTCTTCCCTCTGATGTTGGTTCACTTACTCATTTTCTTAGCAGGTGCCGTGTGGGTGTCTCTCGGGATTTATGGGTGTGCAGGAAAATCTTGGGTTTTGGAGGAACTCAGGAACAAAGGGGAAAGGGAAGCATCTCAAGATAATGCAAGTCTGTGTAATGAGAAGGAAATGCCCCGGGTGGGGCACGCTTATTCTAGAGGAAATGGAGCTGGAGCCTCCTTGAGGTGGGCTGCCAGGGAAAACATTCTGAAACTTGAATTCATTCCCGAAGGTGAAGATGCCAAGCCAGCCCGGAGAATACCCAGGATGAATTTCAGTAATGGGGGATCAGGGGTGTGAGGGGGTTGTAGCAGTGAGGACAGAGGAAATTGTATGGAGTCA